ACCGGCAGGGGGAACGGGAACAGGAACAGACACTTAAAACCATAACGGAGCCAGGCGCATCCAGATCCCGGGCTTGCGTGATGCGGAAACCAATGCATAGGCTAAAAATGTGTTGTAGAACCACTCCACAGAACCCAGTACAGACAACACCTAGGGAATGCGATCAGACACTGCCACAGCCAGACAGGTAAAATCTCTATTTCTTGCAAGGACTGTGTACACATTTTGCTGAAATTTGAGGAGGAAACAGTCATTCTTCAAAAGACAAAGCACCTGCCACCAGACACAATAATACAATAATACAATTTGTACAATAATAACTATCAGACTCTTATGCCACTCTACTTCTTTACATAAGAAGTAGGGCCATTTGGGGCGAAGTGGTGGCTCTGTGGCTAAGGATCTGTGCCTGTGACTGGAAGGTTGCCAGTTCAAATCCTGCAGCTGGCAGAGGAATCCTACTCTGGTGGGCTCCTGAGCAAGGCCCTTAACCCCAACTGCTCCAGGGGTGCTGTACAATGGCAGACCCTGTGCTCTGACCCCAGGCTCTCTCCCTGTCTGTGTGTCTCATGGAGAGCAAGCTCGGGTATGTGAAAAGATAAGTCCTAATGCAAGAAATTGTAAAGGGTTAATAAAGTAATGTTATATGTTATAATGTCTCATAATTTCAAAAAAGGAAATCAATGAAAGCCAAAACAAACTTACCACAACAAATACAATTTCATATTACATTACATAGGAATTACATAGTATATATCCATACAATATTACAAGTAGAGCTGTCTGGGCTCACTGGTATGGTCACAAAGGTTAGATCCCATAATGTACTAGCTACTGTATATAATGTCAAAATTACTCTGTCATGGGACATTCCCAGAACATACTTTATGTAAATAGATGCCACTCACACCCTCCAGAGCGGGTCAGTAGAAATCCCCACCTGTATGGTGTTCTAGGAGCAAACCATTAAATCTAATGATTCATTCAGGATTAGAGAGCACAACATTATTATTGTCTAACTGTCACCACAGATTAGAAGTATGAGTAGTCTACTAGGACATTCAGCATGGTGATAACAAAACTACTTGTTATATGCTAGAAATTGTGAAGCAACACTGGTGATATTTATAAGTGATACATTTCTTGTATAAGAAATATAATACTGTATGTATAATATGTATAATACATTTCCTGATATAAAGTACTCTGGAAAATAACCCTTGAGTTTTCCTACAAAGAAAACACTAGGCGGCTTGCTTTGGCTCTCTAATATATATTTTTCTTCTTTGAAAAATGTTATTGTCTACTGTTCTTAATGTGTTCCACTGTATTAAACAATCTTTAACAGAAAGTGTAATCACTGATGTTAAAACAGACAGCTTTTACTCCCTTAGCAAAAGTAAGAGTTGTCTTCAACAACTGCTAGATATAACCATTTCTAACGTATTCTGTTCCAATAGAGAGCGAAAGGATTGATACTGTATAATTCACACAGACTTGAGAACACACTGGAAAAAGAAAAATACAATTCCACTTGGGAAAGAAAAATAAGTACAGCAGAAACCTACAGTAATAGTAAAAAACAATGGATATCTCATCCCAGAATTTGGGTTTATGCTTAATTGTGAGTGCGTTTTATAGAAGAACTGGAGATTGGGGTGAGACTGAGACAGGTCTTGGGCCAGTGGTGCAGTGTGTTGGATGCCCAACAATCAAAACTGTCAGAAGGGCGAAGGAGAAGGAGGGAGAAGTGTGGGAGCGAACAGGGAATGTGGAAATACGGAAAAGAAATGTCCTCAGTTGTTCCCAAACCTCCAGGGAGCAGAGCTGACATCAGAAAGAGCCGGAAGACAGAAGCACACATTGTGAGGGCAGCATGGGGCTGGCTCTTTGCCGACATTAGAGAAATGCTTGTTTGAGGTGGAGTGAGGTGGTAGCCAAGAGGCAGTGTCAAGACCTGCAGGAACCACAGGACAACGTGCAGGAGAGGGCAAAAGATGGAAGATGGAGGAAAGAAGATAAAGTCTGTTGGTAGCATGAGTAAGTGAGAATTGTGTGCTCAGCAGGCGAAATATTTTAAGCGTAGAAGAGCAGATGTGGCCAGATTAGGAATATGATCTCCTTATATGAGAACCTGAACTTCTGACATAAAAAAGACCAATAAAACTATTTTATTTAATTACAGTTAAAAATGGTAAAATTCATTAGTGAAATTAATCTATTGTAATTGCAAAGACACCTAATTGAATTTAAAAAGGAGGTGTGTTGTTGTAAAATAAAATTGTAAAATACAAAAATTGGGAAATGTTGAGTGTTTATATCTATATACAGTACAAATATAGATGTGTCACATATAGACACATGTAGACTTTAAACCAAAAGATGGAATGTTAAAACATTTGTATAATGCACTATAAGACCTCATTGAACGACTCTATACAATTTTCACAACATTATAGAAGATATTGCTACTCTGGAATCAGTCCAGAGAAAAGCAACCTGGTACATTAAGGCACTTAAGGGAATGTCCTACACTGACAGTCAGAAGGAACTTCAAAGAGAACTTCAATATAGAAGACTACAAGGCAATGTTTTCAGAATAAACACTACAACTTAATTCAGAGGACACAAATGGAAATTACACAGACGTACATATAAGTGCAACTGGTTTAAAATTGAGAACAGGAGACTTTTCTTTACCCAAAGAGTAAAGAGCTGTGGGAATTTGGAACAAATGTCTCAGCCATGTTGTTTAAACTGATAACCTGGCTTTTTTAAAGAAACAACTGGCTGAATTGTCAATCAGCTAATAACCACCAAATGGACTACATGGACTGAATGGTGTCTTGTTCTTAGGCTTTGTTCATAATATTTTCTGAGGGAAAGCACATTTATTGCTAAGTTTATTTATATTAATGTTTACTATGAATTATTTGTGTAGCTATGGGCATCTCAATCTCAATCACTACTAATATTTTCTTATATCCAAATTTCCTTCCCTGGTCATTGGAGGCAATGAACGCTGAATATATTCAAAGGTAAGTGTACACATATCCCTCAGGCCTAACTTGTACATGTAAACTGCTAATGTCGATGTCTGAACATTGAAGTGTTATTAAGTTTGGGATGTTTTTTTTTTGTCCATACAAAAGCTAATTTTAATGTAAAACACATCCTGTGAACTTTTTGATTTTGCAAAATTATGTGTAGCTGTCTATTGTACTACTGTATATCTAAAAGTACTAATTCAAGAAAGGCATTATCACCCATGATTGGGACATATCTATGTTTAAAAAAAAACTGCAACAAAAAATGTTTCATTGTTCAATGATTGCCATACTGTCAAATTGTTTAAATTGCAGTGTTAACATATACTGCTGATGGAATATAAATGTTATAGCAAAATTGCCTTTTAAGCTTAAGCAGAAATGAACAATAGTTATACCAGCATTCAAGAAATGGTGTAGTTTGTTACTGTAAGTAAAATTGAATCAGCAGTGAAATTTAAAAATAAATTAAATTTGATACAGAAATTATACAATAACTGCAAAACAATTAAATCTGAAATGTTATTTGCAGTAAAGCACCCATATTATTTATTTTCTCCTGGGGAACTCTTCAAAAACTTCAATCAAAATCCAAGGATGCTTGTGCATTCTCAATCACTACAAATGTTTTCCTATATCCTAATTCTATTCCCTGTTCATTTGAGGTTATTTTTCAAAAAAAGAAAACAACATTTCTCGAGAACAGCTAGAGATTTGTGTACATTCAAAGGCAAGTAAACTCTACATGTATCCCTACATGTCCACTGCTAATGTCTTTTTGTTTTTGAACATTGAAGTGTTATTTAAATATTCGGTAGCTACAGGAACCTTCTGAATATTCAAAGAATTAAATTGTATTTTTAAAGAATTAAATCAATGTTTTCTAATTCTTCTTAGGCTGCATTGCAGTTCAGGCATCAGGCATTAATTCATTGAGTTATTTCTTCAATTTTCTTCCATTTTCTTTACTGTTCACCAAAAAAAGAGTGGTCGGTGGTAGCCCAAAATTTAGCCAATATACCATGTGGTTTTCTAACCATTCCTTGCCAGGGTTCATGCCTAGATTGCCCAAATTTTAATTTGGACCACAATGTGCTACAAAATACAGAAACTGAATTGATGGATCAGACAGGGAACTTATTCTTACCCATTAGCTAAATAATGCTAATCATTTTTCATGATAAATAAATCTTTCTAGACAACAGCAGAATAAAACACTACCTTAACCATCTGTTCGACCCATTTCAGGAAGCTTAAATCCTACCCGTTTCATGTTAGAAGGGGAGGTCAGAGTTAATTACAATGCAATGAAGATGACAATAACCAGGAGGCCATTACCTGTTTTAGCTCACGAGCCTGTCCTTCTGTATCAGTCTCAATACTCCCTTATTAAAACACTGATCATTCTTGAGGCAAAAAAGACCCAAAATTGATTAGAAACAAATGTTGACACAGTCTTTATTCTCTGTTTAAGTCTCAGGAGCTATTTATCAACCTGATGGTAGCTGTGGGAGGATGCCTGATGATCTCCAGTGTGGTGATAAATGGACAGTAGAACATTCTTCAGTCCGAAGAATGTAACATTCAGACAGAAGAATGTAACAGCTGTTTCACTGTGACATTTATTATATGAAACTGGCAAACTAAATCATCTTTACAGATGCAGAAGACCCAAGATGGGGTGATAAGAAGACTTCAACCTTCATTATTTTTGGAATGCTGAAGAAGCATCTTCATGTCTTTTTCTCTGGTATTTAAATTCTTCTTGACTGATACCATCATCAAACCTTGTTGTTACTATTACAGCCTTCCCCCATGTTCCTAAAATGTTGCAGGGTGAAACAAATTAGTTGTGAACCACGCTCCTTCTGGAAAGTATGAGGTGGAAGGAATCCACATGAAAACCCAAAGATTTGTTTTTCTTCTCTCAATGAAAATGACAAAAAAGCCTACCTTTTTATTGCCTTGTAGCAAATGATGACCATTAACAGAAGGAACAGCACAGTAGCACATCCCACCGTGCCTATAATAACAATTTCTTTCCACCAGGGCTTCATCTGAGGCACACTGGGTTCAGGTGCTACAAGAAGACAGGACAAGAAAAAAAATTAGAAAAAAATGTTCCAGAAACCAGCTGTTAGGAATACAAAACAGATGAAAACATGTATTAAAAAATATCCCAGGCCAACTGTACACCCATTACCCATTTGATTAAAATTCTAACATGAAGCTGACTTGTCAATTTAAACATGGGGCTTAACTTTAATGAAAGCTTTTCAAATTTGTGTATTGTGTAATTTCCCTGTTTACCCTCTGAGCAGGACAAGTAAGTACTGTAGTCAGTTAATACTTTCATCACACTATCCTAGGAGCACACTTGTTACTCATACAACATTACATTGGAAAACTGAAATGTACTGTATAGGAAGCTGTACAGTATGTGTGCTGATGCTGAATTAAAAGTCAAGCAGTTTTTTACACATAAGATAAAATCCTATGAACAATTTATAAATATCTAAATATTAGAAGTGATGCTTCAGATCATGCAATTTTCTTCTACTGGCAATGACATTTCTGTTCATTTCAAGCTCATTATGCCACCACTGCAGTTTGGCATTTTAAAGGAAAATATTATTCAATACTTGTCAAACTGGTCATGCTCAACACAAATCATGTACTGTATATGCATTTCGAGTGAAACAGAAGTTTTTTTACAACAAATTCTTAGTTTATACATAAAACTAGAATAGCAAGAACAACCTTTAATTGTCAACATCATCAACAGTTCCTTTCACTTGGTGTGGTCCTTACTGCGTTAAAGACTGCATCTATCACTCCTGTTCTGAAGAAACCAGGCTTGGACTCTGATAGAATGAATAACTACAGACCAATCCCTAGTTTATCATTTCTACCAAATGTTTTAGAGCATGTGGTTGCACCTCAACTACATCAACTCCAGGCACATATGATAACGATATGATAATTTTCTTTAATGATTTCTGTTCTTATCTGACTGGCAGGCAGCATTTTGTATCCCTTGGTCCTCATAAATCCCCCATGGCCCCAGTCAATCACGGTGTGCCTCAGGGTTCAGTCTTGGGCCCTTTACCTTTTATTATTTATATACTACCTCTCGGCCAAATTATACGCAAATATGGTCTTCAGTTTCACTGCTATGCAGATGATACTCAGATTTATGTTAAAACTTCTTCCCCTTCTGGTCTCCCACCTTGGTCACTTATCTCTTGTTTGCGTGACATCAAATTCCCTGAAGCTAGTGATAGTGATAAAACAGAAATTCTACTGGTTGGCAGCAAATCTCAATTGGATAAACCCTGTTAACACGTCAGCCATAGTCAGGAATCTGGGAGTCACACTTGATCCTCTCCTGTCTTTTGAGCCACATTTCTGTCACCTTAAAAATATTGCCCGCATTAGGAAATGTTTATCAATGTCTGATGTTGATTGCCTGATCCATGCACTTATAACAACAAGGCTTGATTTATCCAACTCTTTGCTCCATGGGCTCCCTAACTCTCTTCTCAACAAATTGCAATATGCTTAAAACTCCTACTTCTCCTCCTACTCTAAAGTCTCTTTGGTTGCCACATATTCAATCTCGAAATGTACTCATTTTTTATCAACAGAGGATACCCCAGCAGTGTGATTGACAGGGCCCTTGCCCGAGCCAAAAACACCCCCCGGACCATCAACCCGATCAGGAACTCCCGCCGTAACAACCGCATTCCTTTGGTGCTTCCTTACCACCCTAACACACTTCCTATCCCCAGGACCATTAACCAGAACTTTTCCATCCTACAGGATGATCCCTACATTGGGGCCCTCTTTTCTGATCGCCCTATCATCTCATATCGCCGACCACCTAATCTGCGTAACCTCCTTTTTCACAGCTCCCTTGACCGCCCTCAGCAACCATCCACACCAGGCACTTTCCCTTGCAAAAGAGCTCGCTGTATCACCTCCAAGTACACAGCCACCACCACACTCATTCAAGGCCCCTCAGGACAATTCCGGATCACCCAGACAGCATCTTGTACCTCCAGCAACCTTATTTACTGTATCTCTTGCAGTAAATGCCCAGCCATCTACATTGGGGAAACAGGAAGGAGACTCGGAGACCGCTTCAGAGAACACGTCAGGGCTGTGAAGATTAAAGATCTCTCCAAGCCCATTGTTTCTCATTTCACCTCTGACGGCCACGACCACTCTAATCTCTCCGTCTGTGTTCTCAAAGACGGTTTTCCGAACTCATACATCAGAAAGACCACCGAAACTAAAATTATTCTGCAGCTAGGATCACACATTCTCCCTTCCCTTAACGACAGATTACTGTTCTTTTAAATATTCTCCATTCATTGGAAGTTTCATTTCACACCTCTCTGCACCCATTCTGACTTCACACCTCTTGATTGGCCTCTCTTTCTGTCCCCTGCTCCCGCCTCTCACTCCTCCTCCCTCTCAACCTTTGTTCTCCCGCTACCTTACCTTTGCCTACTGCCCTGTCTCTCTCACACCTGAAGAAGGCTCCACGGCCGAAACGTTGTGTTCTCTTTCTTCTTTTTTTCAGCATGGAAAAAACCTATTACTTGTTCCTTTGCAGCCTACGCATGCTGACGCAGCTACCCACCTATTCAATACAAGATCCTGTTACTGACTTTTAAGGCTCTGAAAAATCTGGATCCATCATACATCTCTGAACATCTCCAGTGTTGTGCAATGACCTTCCTCACACTTTAGAGAGACAACATCTGTAACTCTCTTGAGTTATCTAAACTTAAAACTTACCTTTTTCCCAAGGTCTATGTACGTCTGATTGCCTACAGTCAATTTGTAAAAACCTGTATGCTTTTTGTTTTTTTTGTCTTTTTTTTTAACTTTTCTTATCTTTTTCTTTATTCAAGATGTACAGTACACCATTCTTGGGTTTGGAAAGGTGCTTTCTAAAGAAAAGTCATTATTATTAATTATTACTTCAATGACAGGTTTAAACTGATTTAATAAGACCAGAGACATTTACTTCTAATTTCCTCTTAAAGATTAAAAAAGCAGTTTTTCATTGTAAAATGGTTTTAAAATTCTCTACCACCTATCGCAAATCTTTTTGAGGAATGCACAGATATACAAAGCTGCTAAATATTTTAGACCTCAAGAGGCATTTTATTTGCCTCATGCCACCACAGCTCCAGTTTGATTTATTACAACTTTCTATACAAGTGCTTTTCTTGTACTTCAGTGTAAACATACCGTGGAGCATTACAAAGTTTAAAATGTCAATTAAAATTGCTTTACTCAAAAGTGTAATATACAGTATAACAGTGGTTTGCACCACATTAGTTCAGAGACTAATGGAGTAGTAACTCACAAGTCTCCAGAAACAAGACAAAATTTCTCACCTCTAGACTGGCAATGTCTAAAACCAGTTTTACATTGCTGTAGCTTACCTTTATTAGATGTCTTACAAAGCAAACAGTGGCTCTTTTGCATTGTCATTCTGATTAATATTTTATTATTCAAACCAGCATTTTTTCCCCAATAATCACAAGAAAAATCTTTGTTTTTCTTTTAAAAGTGTGATTACTTCAAACTGGGTAGTTCACACATATACTGTTGAAAAACTCTACAACTCACATTAAGAAAATGGACAGAAAACAGCTTAGCTGCCGTTAACTGTTTAACAACAGCAATCTCAGTTTGTGAAAGCGTACTGTATAATGTGATACCTGACCCCAGTAACCACCGATCTAGGTGACAACTGGGGATGGGAAGGTCAGAAGATGTTAAATTCATTGGCATTGATTTTGTTCCACAAAAATGAAAATAAATGACTATTAAATGCACTACAGAACCTTTCCTCATTTCCAAATAAGCATATTATTGATTGTAAGAAAACTCTAGAGACAAGAAGCACATTGTTGCTCTCTAAATTTAATTACTTCCCAAATTATACTACTTAACTATCGACACACATTGTTTTAAAATTTAAAAACTTCTCCAGAAAAGCTGAAGGAATCTTAGACCATTTCTTTAAACACTTTTAGTTTACTGACAAAGAAGCTACATTACTGTATTCTGTGCTTTCTTTCATTACGTTCATTACTTTAAAGGGGACTGCAACACTATTTTATAATAATAATAATAATAATAATAATAATAATAATAATAATTGCTTACCCTTATATAGCGCTTTTCTGGACACTCCACTCAAAGTGCTATATAAGTGTACTCTATGTGCAGCATCCACCTAGATGATGCGACGGCAGCCATAGTGCACCAGAACGCTCACCACACATCAACTATCTGTGGGGAGGAGAGCAGAGTAATGTAGCCAATTCATAGAGGGGGATTATTAGGAGGCCATGATTGGTAAGGGCCAATGGGAAATTTGGCCAGGACGCCGGGGTTACACCCCTACTCTTTTCGAGAAACGCCCTGGGATTTTTAATGACCACAGAGAGTCAGGGCCTCGGCTTTACGTCTCATCCGAAGGACGGCGCCTGTTTACAGTATAGTGATTATATATTACAGTATATAATTATATACAGTATATATAATTTTGACATTATATATAATGCATTTAATGCATATAATGCATTTCAAACCACAATGACACTACCAAGAAGTAGAAATTTTCCATTGTTCTGTCAAGGTATTCTTTGCATGTCTGTATAGTCCAATAGAGGTCAGGGAGTACTATTTGCATAAGTACTATTTATGCAAACAAAATGCAATGACAAATTTTAAACAAATCACACAGTATAAAATTTAAAAGTTAATTAAAATTCTGGGATTTCACTGCCAGATCACATGTAATTATTTTCTTTGAATGTGGTATGAACTGATAGGATAGGACCTTCCTAATGAGCATTTACAGTGCAATCCTAATTCTTACTAAGGACTGCAAGTTTTTTAAAGAAAGGTTTGCGTTTATAACACATACTTTAGGTGTTTTTGACAAAGAAAACAAATACAGTATGACGTGGGGAACTTTTTTCTGTTGTATTATAAACAGGACAATGAAAAATACAAAACACTTAAAAAAAACAAACAACTTCCTAATTG